CGTCCCCGTCGTCATATCCGCCCTGCTCGATCCTCTGCGACAATCGCTGCGGGATAGCGATCCCTACGTTCGCAAGACGGCCGCCATCTGCGTCGCCAAACTGTACATGCACGATCGCAAAGTGGTGGACAGGCAAGGCTTGATCGGAATGCTGAGGGATCTCTTGGCCGACACGAATCCTACCGTCGTGGCCAACGCAGTGGCTGCGCTCACAGAGATCAGCGAGAGGTCGGACAATATCCAACTCAAACTAAACCTCACCATTGCCAGCAAGCTGGTCAGCGCCCTGCCGGATTGCTCCGAGTGGGGTCAGACTTACATTCTAGAGAGCCTCATGTTCTTTGTGCCGCAAGATTATGCAGACGCAGAGATTCTAGCCGAACGCATCGCAGTCAGGCTTCAGCACGCCAACTCGGCCGTCGTGCTCACCAGCGTCAAGCTCATCCTCTACCTCATGAACTACATTGCAAGCGCAGAATTCAGGGAGAGCCTCTGCAAAAAGATTAGTCCGCCGTTGGGTGAGTGCGGTGCGGTGCGGTGCGGTGCGGTGCGGTGCGGTGCAAAGCGGTGCTGGCGTGTGTGTGCGAAGCGCGCTTTGCTGACCAAGGCGCGCACCCCACAGTCACCCTCCTGTCTTCAGGGCCCGAAGTGCAGTACGTCGCGCTGCGCAACATTCTCCTCGTCATTCAGCGCAGACCCATCGTGCTGCAACACGACGTCAAGGTGTTCTTTTGCAAGTACAATGATCCCATTTACGTCAAGATGGCCAAACTGGAAATCATGTACAGGCTTGCGTCGGAGCGCAATGTGGAGCAGGTCTTGGCAGAGTTGAGAGAGTATGCTGCAGAGGTGGACGTGGACTTTGTGAGGAAAGCCGTGCGGAGCATCGGCAGGCTGGCGATAAAGATCGAATCTACAGCGGACAGGTGCATCAAGGTGCTGCTGTCGCTCATCCAGACCAAGGTCAATTACGTCGTTCAAGAAGCCATCGTCGTCATCAAGGACATTTTCAGAAAGTACCCCGATCGGTATGAGAGCATCATCAGCGTCTTGTGCGAGAATCTGGACAGCCTAGACGAGCCCGAAGCGCGAGCAGCCATGGTGTGGATCATTGGGCAGTACGCTGAGCGCATCGAAAACTCCGACGAGCTGCTCGAAGACTTTTTATTCACCTTTTTGGACGAGCCGGTAGAAGTGAGTATTCGAGATTGTGTGGCGCGCGAATCGTGGGACGTCAGCTCAATGCGTGCATCGTCAAACTCCCTTTACAGGTTCAACTCGCACTGTTGACCGCTACAGTCAAGCTGTTTCTCAAGCGTCCTGCAGCGGGTGGAGAATTGGTACCGAAAGTGCTCAAGTGGGCTACGGAAGAGGTGGAGAATCCGGATCTGCGGGATCGCGGATACATGTACTGGCGTCTGCTCTCGACGGATCCTGCAGCCGCTCGCGATGTGGTGCTGTCCAACAAGCCAGCTATCAGCACAGAGACGGACAGGATGGACAGGACGCTGCTGGATCAATTGCTATTGCACGGTGCTAGCCTCGCGAGCATTTTCCATCGCCAACCGCAGACTTTTATTAGGGGTAGCAAAGCTCGATATCTTCCCGACTCGCCTGCCATCGATGAAGCGGCCAAGAAGAGTGCAAGCCGGCACTTGTACTCTCGACCGACGCCTAGGAATGCCAGTGGATTGGCAAATGTTCAAGCTGAAACGGGTGCACGAGCTGCACCAACCCCAGCGCTTCCGCCAAGGTCCACAGACGGCGCAGCGGCGACTGATGATGGTCCCGCCACACCTGGGGCGCTCGCGCGCAATGGATCATCCGCCCCGACTGCCTCTGAAGGGGCTACGGCAGAAACGAATCGCTCCAGCTCGGACGAAGTTCGACGAGGCGATTCAGCAGATGGGCCCAGTGGTGCGAATGGAGAGGCCGAAGAAGATCCTTATGCGATGCTTGGTGATCTTGGACCGGAATTTGGAGGTGTCGGAGGCGGCTATGCTGCAGATGCGCCTGCACCACGAAGCGGAGTGGACGACTTGTTGGCCTAGGGCAGGCATTTCGGATCACACTCGTGGCGCTCCACTCGCCCATGGCGCTTTGCCCCACACGTGCGATGATTCATATCTTGGACAAGAGGTACTCGAGATGTAATGTAACATACATGATGCGAACTTTGAGCGGCCTCTCTCACTTGATGCTCCGCCCATTGACTGCTGATCCGCCCAACTTGACGCTCTTCTCGGGCGGGCTCCTGCCGCGCGTGGGTGTGGAGCTGCCAGGAGGTGTGGCAGCGCTCTTTTCCACTGTGCTAGGTCTGCGCACGGGTGGATTGGTACCGTCGGCAGAGCCAAACGTATCGGTGTTTTGCTCGGATTCGGCAAGCCTAGCAGCTTCGGACTCGAGGATCATCATGCTCTTGGGATGCGGTGCGGTGTAGGAGCTGGACAGCTCCATCTGCTTTTCCAACTCGTCGCGGGAGACCGCTGCGGCGACCAGACCCAAGAAGCAAGGTCCAGGCTTGAGTGGCCGACTTGCAAATTCTGGATGACTTTGAACAGCTGCAACACGCGCGCGCGCGCAAGAGGTGGAAGGCGTTCCAAAACGATGAGCCGCCGGCGCCCACTGCGAACCTTTTTTTTTTTTTTTTTTTTTTCCCTTTTTTC